GTTCCCGGAGGAGTAGGGTGGAGCCCTCAGGGCCACTGGGCGGGCCTTCATCAAAGCCCCGTCCCGGTCGCCGCCGACTTTATGAGGCGCACTTGCGTACGCTGCCTCCCGGGGGCGGGGCCAGAGACGCGGTGTGGCGCCGGGAACGAGAGCCCAGAGGGAAGAGACAAATGAAGCTTTGCGTTAGAGTGGGCGAGGTCGCACAGTGGCCGCAGCAACGGCGAGAGACGAGGCCCTTATGAAAATGAGAAGGCGGGATGGGCGGATAGGCTGTATATTTGCATATGCATAAGGGGTGGAGCCCAGCTGGAGGTGTGGGCACAGCCGGGTCCCTTCTCCCCTTCCCCCAAGGTAACGCTTTCTGGACACCTGAGCCACAGACTCTATAGTCCGGGAAAGCTGCGGAGCCCCTGGTGGGAGAGAAGCAGACCTACAAGTGCAAGTAGCCCTTCAAATCCCGGGAAGGCATGGCCGGTAAGATCCGGATCAAGAAAACTCAAGGTCACTGCGGTGACCGAATGAAGGTCACGGGAAAGGGCGGGGCCACGTGCGTCCGCCTCACGCAGGCAGACACGCACTGACTCACGGATTATGCACACTCTTTAATTTCTCTAGGGCTCAGACTCCAAGCGGGTCGGGCTTGGGTCTGGGGACGGGACAGAGCAAGGGGCAGGAGTCAGACTGCTAGAACCAGAGGTTCACTGAGACGTCCAGAGTAGTCTCCTGCGCCTTTGGAGCTCCTCGACCCTTCGCTGCAGCTCTTTAGTCAGAAAGTGGTTCTCGCCGATCTTGGACCGGTAGCCTGGGAGGAGGGCAGAGCTGAGTTGGGGTAGTGAGCACCGGCAAGGTTTCCCCACCAGCAGGTGCTGTTTGTATGATTTAAGGAGCCATAGGTGATTTGGAGTGGGAGCCACCCTGGGCTCTGGGGCCTGTGTAAGTTTGGGGAACTTCTGATCCCCGCTTAGTGTGAAGGTGGAGGAGGACGGTGAAGGCGGGCTGGAGAAGATGCCACAGGCCTGGACCTGGGCAGTGGGAGCTGTTAGCTTTATGGACATCTCCTGGACCCACCCTCTCCCAGTAATCATATGGTCCTTTGGATTTCACATCATGAACAGGAGTTTACCCAAATAATCCACTGTCCAATAAATTTACCCAAATCCACTGGCCCCTCACGGCTCCCCCACCTGGGAAGAAGCCAGAGCTGCATCCACTGGACAATTGGAGAACCCTCCTAAAACCTCCCCTAGAAAGGAGCTCCACCGAGGCCTGTCACCCCACGCTCTCCCATCTTGAGCCTGGTCTCTCAACTTTTTTCTGTTGGGCCCTTGGAGTATTTGTGAGTGCTAAGGTCATCTGATAAGGCATACACATCTGAAACTCCATTCCCACAGGCCCCAGCCCTTCGAAATACACCGGAATCCTTTGTAGAAGCTGTGGGGAGGGGGCTCACTCTTGAGGGCTTTGGTGAGGATTTCCAGAGCTTCGGTCTCCATGAGTTCCCTCAGGGGCAGCGGCAGCTGGAAAAACAGTGAGAAGCTCAGGCATCTGGGAAACCCCAGTTTTGCCCACGGAAGAAATGTTCCATCTGATTCCTGCAGCCCCAAGACCCCCAGCCAGCCTGCCTGCCCCTCCACTCTGCCAACCACCCCCATTGTTTCACTGCTATACACCTTAATGCCATCCCCCACTTACCCCCCTTCCCAGCTTCTCTGACCTTTTTCTGCTGCTCTGCCAAGTAGAGCTGAAAGTCTGCATGCTCCCAGGCACTAGACAATGACTCTAGGAGAAGAGAAAACCACGGTCAGGCATCTGTAGACTCCTAGGTCTTCCGTGGAGCAGAGCTGCATATGGTGGGAGGCAGTGGGGTTTACCAGATACTTATTTGGAGACAGTATAAGATGGTAGGTACACGCCTGGGTTCCAGTTCTGGTTGTCCAGTATGTGAGATTTAGGTCCAGTGACAAGTTGTCCCATCCCCCATCCTCCCCACTACTGGAGATGGAACCCGTGCACAGGCTTCCTGCATGCTAGGCAAGCAGTCCACCACTTCATCCCCAGTCCTAGTGACTGAGACATAACCTCAAGTTCTTTATCTGTAAAATGGAGTCACAAGAATGGCTTCTTGTGGAGGTTGCAAAATTTAGAGGTGACCATTCAATGGAAGCTCAAGGCCTGGCACATAGCAAGCACTCAGCATGTATCAATTGTGATATTATTATCAGTTCTAATCCCTTGATGAAAGTGAAGAGAGAAATTGGTCATGATGGTACACACCTGTAACCCCAGCACTCTGGAAGTTTGAGTCAGTAGGATCAAAATTTCAAACTGTTCAGCCTGGGCAATTTAGACTTAGTGAGACCCTGTCTCAAAATAAAAAATTAAAGCCAGGTGTGGTGGTGCATGCCTGTAATCCCAGCACTCAGGAGGCTGAGGCAGGAGGATCACTGTCAGTTGAGACTAGCCTGGGCTACATAGTGAGCTGCAGGTCAGTCTCAACTACATAGTGAGACCCTGTCTCAAAAAACAAACAAAAAATTTAAAAAGGCTCATTGTGAAGGCCTTGAGTTCAATCCCCAGTATTGCCAAAAAGGGAAGAAAGGAGGAAAATCCCAGTACCCACCATACTGTAGTAAGTGCTTAAAAATTGTAAACAAGAGCTAAGTGTAGTGGCGCATGCCTGTAATCCCAGCACTCTGGAGGCTGAGGTAGGATCACTGCATGTTCTAGGCCAGCCTGGGCTACATAGTGGGTTCAAGGCCAGCCTAAACTATATAGTGAGACCCTGTCTCCAAAAATAGATCATAAAGGTCCTGAGTTTGATCCCCAGTACCAAAAAAAAAAAAAAAAAAAAGATCATAAACGTAAACAACGACTGACTAAAATAACCTCTTCAATGAGCACAAATCTTGAGACACTGAATACCCTCCCCTCAACTGGCTCTATGACTCCATTTTTGTTGTTGTTGTTGTTTTTGTTCTTTGTTTTTTGAGACAGGATCTCACTATGTAGTTGAGACTGCCCTGGAACTCACTATGTAGCCCAGGCTGGTCTCAAACTCACAGCGATCCTCCTGCCTCAGCCTCCCAAGTGTTGGGATTACAGGCATGTGCCCCCACTGCCCAGCTCCGTGACTCCATTTAAAGTACAGCTCTCTCTGCCCTGCCTTGTCGGGTTTTCCTGTCTCCAGGGCTTAGCATTGCAGACACCCTCCCGCTAGTGGGTGTTCAAGGGATGTCTGGTAAATTGAAAGCATGCAGGATCCGCTGTAGTGCCCTCTCTGGCAATCCTAGAAACTCGTATGCTATCGGCTTCCCCCATTGTGCAGACGGGAAAGTGAGGCCCTGGCCAGTCCCCTGTACTGTGGGTGCCCACAATCTGGCGAGGCCACACTGACCTTTCCGGATTTCAGATTCGCTGGCCACTTCCACTAAGTGGTTGCCCAGGGATCTGCTGCGGGGCGGTTCCAGCTCCAGCAGAGTGTGCTGGTCCAGGTCCTCCGATTTAAATCGGTCCTTGTCCCTCAGAGAAATGGACTTGTCAACGTCCTCCTGGAGGCCCCGCTGGCTGTCCCACTCGCAGGCCTCAAAGACTGTGCCACCGCCCTCCTGACCAGAGCTCCCACGGACCTCGGACAGCTGCATGCTCAGGTGTGGCTGCGACGGTGTGGCCCGGGTGCACCCATTCGGAAGGCCATTGGGCCTGCTCACCTGGCCGGGGCTTTGGTGGTCTGGAGGCGCCTGTGGGCCACATACAAGGAGGGAAGCCAGGATTGCGGGTTTCTGGAGCGGGGATCCTGAACCAGGGCGAGGGGGAGGTTGGAAACGATGAGTGGGGCTGCAGGAACCAGGGATGAGAGAGAACTATGGAAGGGGCTTAGGCGAGATGGAAAAGAAATTGGAGGCTGATAAGCGAGGGACCAGACTGGACCTTACTTTGAAAGGTTCTTCCTCCATGGTTCTGCCCCAACGGACCCAGGCGCTGCCGGCTGGGCGTGGGGGAGGGGGCTCACGCTCCATGAGGGGGAAGGGGGCGGAGCCTCCGTCAAGCATGACTGCCCTGCTCCGTGCGTCCCCGGCCCTCCCAGCCCACCCCGTATCCAGGCTTAGGCTGGAAACATCTTGGCCGATTCTGACGCTCGACTCTACCCGGTGGCCTCCGGACAGAGGGTCATAACTTCACTGACGTGGGTGGCTGGGAGCCCTGGGCCTGAGGGTGGCCAAGGCGAAGGACGCGCTCCCACACCCGCTCAAGTCCCTGGAGCGTGCACGCCCGCGGAGGTGCAGTGTTTTCCTTTATTGATGCAGATTTTGAGGCACAGTCGTGAGGTGTTGTGAGGAAACAGACCCCGCTAGGGCATCGAGACAGAATGGGTGGAAGTGAGGAAGGGGCCAGGGGCCGGAGGTGGTGGTAGGTGACCCTCCTGCCTAGGCCTCAGTTGAGCGTTGAAAGAGGGCTCTTTGGTCAAACAAGCCAAGCATGCCAGGGAGACAACAGGAGTGAAGTCCTTTGAGGGCCGGCAAGGGTCCGGGTCCTACACCAGCAGGCCTTCGTCTCGGGGACGCCCTGGACCCCGGGGCCGTGCAGGCTTCCTGGTGGAGCTGGGACGGCGGCGACCCCTGTGCGCGCGAGGCAGGGCACAGCCGCGCTCGCTCTGCGTGTCGGAGGACTCGTCAATAAAGGCCAGATTCTCTCTGGGGTAGTCGAGGGCCGAGGCGGTAGGTGGGGAAGGCGTGTCGACCTTCTCTGGGGGGGCGAGGGGCTGGGGCAGGCTGACTGGCTGCTCTGGACAGGGTGGGGGAGGCAGAGGTGGACGCTCCTTCTCTGGCTGAGGTGCAGTGGGCGCAGCTCGCTGGGTCACCCGCGCCGTCACTGTGCCGGTCCAGCTGGCAGCCTGCGCCGTGAAGCCACCCATCTGCGCGGGAAGGAAAAGGAATCCTCGACCCCCTGCACAGTCCTGGGAGCCTGCCCCTTCACTCCCCCCACAGGTGTCTCCCTTCTTTTACCCTGGTTCTCCAGCCTTGGAGGGCGGGAAAATTAAAAGACGTCTCCCCTCAGCTATGCAATCTCCTCTGTCCGCTGAAGCTCCCCCTTGGGAGAGCCTAGTTGTATTTCAGCCCTGAGACCCCTGCTCCCTCTATCCGGCTGGGTGTTTTCAATAGATAAATAACAAGTGACATAATAAGTATAAGTATGCCCCGCAACACCTAGGGCATATTCTAAAATTTTATTGTTGTCTATCTGTAATTCACATTTAACTGGACCTTCTGCATTTTTTTTTCCTGGTAAAGGGGATTGAAGACAGGGCCTCTGCACTGAGCTACATCCCCAGCCCTATATTACTTATTTTTTAAATTTTGAGACAGGATCTCTCCAAGTTGCCAAATTGGCCAAGCTGGGCTGAACTTGCCATCCTCCTGCTTCAGCCACCCAGAGTGCTTCGATCACAGACCTGTGAGCTACCATGCCTGGCTTGCTTTCTGTGCTTTTGTGTACTAAATCTGATAACCCCATCCACAAGGGCACAGGAGGTAGTCTGTGGACACAAAGTCTCCCTCAGTCTCTGCCTTGAGACTCACACTCTGGAAGGAGACCACAGACTGGTCAACCAGTTCAGGAAACAGTGTATACTAGCGCCAGAGCACAGACACAGCACCAACACCAACGTGCATACCTCTGCCCGTGTGCGGCGAGACACGACTCTCAACCAGTTCCCGATGGTGGTGAGCACCGAGGCGAAGTAGGCCAGGCCAAGCAGGATCCAGAACCACACCAGTGGCTGGTAGGCTGGAGAGTCCTGCTTGGGGTCAGCCCCTGGGATGCCACCAAGGAAGGAGGAAAGAAGTTGATTGCATGGCAAGCCTGTAAGCTGGCTATTCACTACCCCTCTTCCTGCCTTGCCTCATCAAGGCAAAGGGCTTGTGCTAGAATGTATAAGTGTGTGCAGGAAGGTCAGTGCATGAGTTGGAGGTATGCAAGACAGAGTATGCAAGAGCAGGTGCCCTCATGCAAGAAGGTGACTTGTGTCAGAGGTGTATTTAATACGTGTGAACATGCATGGGGCCGCAGGCATGCAAGCATGTACGTGTGCATGAGGAGAGGCATGCATGGAATCATTCCATGATGTATGTAGGTGGAGCAGAGGTACCACGTGGAACTTGGAGGGAGAGACCCTGGACAGCAATAAAATAGGGACGTGCCGTGCAAAAAGGAGTAGCCTCACCAGCCACATAGTCCCCGAAGCCCACGGTGGTGAGTGTCACAATGACAAAGTAGATGGCCTCCAGCTTGCTCCAGTCTTCCATATAGCAGAACACAAATGTGGGCGTGAGGACAAAGAGCAGGCAGCCAATCAGCAGGAAGAGCATTGCCGACAGCACTCGCACCAGCTCCGGTCGCACGTGCCACTTCTGCAGGGAGGAGCAGTGGGCAGGACCACAGAGGAAACACTTAACCTCCACTCCCATTCCTGCCACCACACCTCACCCTACCCCAAGTCAGTGACAGAGGCTCCTGCCCCTCTGGGGGTGCGTGGTCACTTGCCAGGGACATAAGAAGGGTATCCTCAGTCCAGTACAAAAGCACACAGGTTGTGGAGCAGCTCACCAGGAAGACTGCTTCGATGTGACCAATCCCACGACGCAGGGAGGAGCCCAGCCGATCCCCGACCCCTGCCAGCAGGATCCCGAACAGTGGAATCCCTACCAGTGCATAAAAAATGCAGAAGAGGCGGCCGGCATCTGTGCGCAGGGCTGCGTTGCCATATCCTGGGTAGAGGGGTGATGCAGAAGTCTAGGCCCTACTTGGCACCCCAACCTCTCCCTGCATCTTCCCTCAAAAGGAAACTCCTTTTCCCCATCCCCCTCCAATGGCCATATCTCCCCTCCCACCGATGGTGGTGATGATGGTTCCTGAGAAAAAGAAGGCACTGCCCAGGTTCCAGGCTGAGTGGTTGCTGATACTGGTGGAGTTGGTTTCTGGGTCCGCACCCCCTCCCAAAGCATCAGCCACCTCCTGCAAGACAAGGCACAGAAGGAGGAACCTGAGTTCTTCCTACCCTTCCAGTCTCTAGGCTCATCCTCCCCATTTTATAGCAGAAGATGCAAATTGGGTGGCCCAATCCACTGCAGGCAAATTTGTTTGACCTTTGTGATGTTTCAGAAACATTTGAGTCATCTGCCCAAGTCCACACAATAGATTTCTTTTCTTTTTTTTTCTTTTTTTGTACCAGGGATCCAACTCTGGTCCTTGCGCTTATGCTTGTGAGGCAGGTGCTGAAACCACTGAGCTAAATCCCTGGCCCTACACAATAGATTTCTAACTATACAGTTGAAAGCACAGCTTTTGGGACCAGATCACCTGGGTTAAAATCTTGGTGCTGTATGACCATGGGTAAATTAACTCTCTGCTTCAGTTTCTGTCTCTTGTCAAGTGGGGGTGAGTGCAGCAGCAACCTCATAGGTCTGTAGTGAAGTTAAAGTACTTACAACACAGTAAGGATTATGTATTTGTTAGGGAAGTTCCCGTGATTGTACCCTATGATTTCTCCTTGCTTTATACAGACTCCACCATTCCCATTACCCCTAAGGAAACTGAATTAGTGTCCCTTGGCTTAGAAGTCTAAAGAAAATTAGGGACTTTCCTCCAGAAAGTTTCAAATATTATCGGAGTTTCCACCCAGTTTTAGGATGTACACACACACACACACACACACACATACACACACCACTAAAGTCCAAGCTAAACCCAGTGTTACATAGGAGGTACTCAGTAAGAATTATTGAATGAATGAAGTGTCCATGTGTTTGCCCTCTTGCTAGCCTGCAGGTCCCTCAGGCAGGTTCTGTGTGTCTTGTTTTGCTTGAACCCAGTAGTGCTGTACCACTGAGCTACATCCCCAGTCCTGTTTGTTTGTTTGTTTTTCAGACAGGTTCTCACTTAGTTGCCCAGGCTAGCCTTGAACTTGTGATCTTCCTGCTTTGAACCACTTCCTGGGATTATAGGCAATGGAGGTCAGAAAGTTCAGAGGATATACTGAGGGGCCCTTCCTCAAGGAGCACAAGGACAGTCTGTGGGGAAGATCATAACCCACCTTTGTTCTCTCTGACTGCGGTCTTCATTAGCAAGAAACATTCCAGTTAATCTTCCTCCAGGGATTGCTCCAAACCCTCCAGGCTCCCTTCTGTCTCGAGAATAGACTCCTAGACTCCTCATTCCAACACATGAGACCTTTCTAAGTGCTCCCACCTCCCTGTCCCCAGTCTTCTCTCCTGGGGGTTCTGAATTATAGCCACCTTCCCCCAGGTTTATGAGATGATTCTGTTTCCTGTAATAACAATTTCAAATAAAGGCAAGAGATGAAATGTCTGATTAAATGTAATTTAATTTTTATTTTGTAATACTTTTCCCATAAATTCACTACTTAGGAGGGAAAAAATCCTTTGTCATCCTGTGTTTCTAATTTCTGCTTCAAATGACTAGGCATCTGCTAACTCCAGATTCTGCAGAACACTAGAGCTTCCCAGTTTCCACACCTTTGCCCATGCTGATCCTTTGCCCAGGAGTCATTTGTCCCCAGTCTCTAAACTCTCCCTCACGCCCTCCTCATTTCAGTTGCCAGCTCTCCTCCTCATCCCTAGCACCCAGCCCAGACCCAGCACACAGTAGGTGCTAAACAAAGAAAGAGAGGAAGCTCCCCTTCAACGGCACCCTACAGCGATCTGTCCGCAGATGTGTCCCTTCACCTAGATGTGACACCATCTAAGCAGAGCCTGCATCTGCCCCACCTCACCTATTCCCCCCTTGGGATATAGCACTACAGCCCCAGCACACAGTACTTAAATGCACAATTGCTACACAGTTTAGGGAGTGATTGTTACTATGAAAGAGAAGCAAAAGAGCTGTCCTCCACCCTTTTGGGTCCTGAACCTCCTTTTTTCTTTTTATTGTGAAGATAAAATAGGTCAGACTCCCTCCCTCTCTCTGCCCTGTGGTCTGGCCAGACGCACTTTCCACCCAAACCTCCCTGAGCCTCCTCCTGCTTTCTGGAAATGTCAGAGACACATCAGGTCCTGATCCCTACCCCACTGTCATCTGCCCAAGGTCCTGCCCCCTTGGGAAGCAATGAAACACAGAAGATTCCACACTCGTGGCCTTTCCGGAAAGGCCACCAAGAGCAGGCAGGAAACAGGGGTACTCTTCAATAAAGTCATTAATATTAACTGATGAAAGTTAAGTCATACTGACTTTTTTAAATCAGGGATCGAACTCCGGTCCTTGTGCTGGCAAGGCAGGCGCAGCACCACTGAGCTACATCCCCAGGCCTAAGTCATACTGTTTTATATGACAATGTTTGAGAAATCAGAGAAAGCAAGAGGTGCTCACTGATAATACCCCAGAAGGTGAAGGCTGGGCTTCTCTTTAGTGACTTGAAGGAAGCTGACCAAAAGTAGTACAGGGGAGCCCCACTCTGGCCCTGCCCACCCACTACTTGCCTGCCCTGTTAAGCGTGGATTGAGAGGGAGGGCCCTCTCCCCCTCCCCTGGCATCCATGGTGGCTTGGACAGGAGTGCTCTGAAATCATCTTTACATGCTTATATGCGCACTTGGTGGGTGGAGGGGGAGTTCTTCACAGCAGTCTTGGGCTTCTCTAAGGCATCGTGACTCCAAAAATGTATCGGAGCGAGTGCAGGAAGGATTGCCAGCTCTGGCAAGCAAAGGTATTGGATGGGACATATTTGTATTAAAATTATTTAGTTAAAATTCACATGTAACGGGGCATCCTAAACTGGTGAGTTAGGCCTGTGAAAATGGAACGTGCCATGGGCTTCATTCATTCATTCATTCACTCAATGTTCCTCCGTTCCATAGCCCTCATTCAGAAACATGCCAGGAACACAGCCGGGTGCCAGGCACAGCAAGGAAAATGAAAAGACCTTGTCATGTTCAAGAGCCCTAGATCCAGCCCTTGCCCTGCACCCCCTCTGCTGTGTCCAGTCCTCAGGAATTGGGTCTGGAAATAACACCCAGTCCAGGGCCTAAATCGGCGATTCGGGAAGGAGCACTGGCCCCACGCACCTTGATGAAGAGACCCAGCTCATGATGGCTCACACACGGATGGGCCCTCAGGAACTTTTCACGGACCTCCCCCAAGTCCTTCTGGGCCTGCTGCTCATAAGGCTGCTCCAGGGCCTGGAACACCAGGGCACCCAACACCAAGTAAAGGAGGACCAAAGCTAGCAGCGCCAGTAGGGTGGTGCTGCGCATGGCGCGCCCAGGGACCGTGCCAGCTCCGCTGCTGCCTGCCGCTGGCGGAGGCGGGGCAGGAGGCTCCTGGGGAGCAGTGGTCACTGTGGGCAGAACCAGGGATGCTGTGGTCAATAAACTGCCCTATACCTCACACCCTCCCCCACCCAGTCCCCTGCACACCCTCAAGGTCCTCACAGCCCCCAGACTTACTGTCCCTAGATAGGTCCCCTCACAGCCCTCCGGCTGGACACTTGGTGCCAGGAAACACCTGGTACCTCTTACCTCCACTGCCCAACCCTCAGGGACGCCGGGGTGTGAGAAGAAAAGAGGGCACTGATCAGGGAAAAGCAGGGGAGTCTCAGGGGAGGAAGGGGAGCGGGGCAAGGTGCAGAGCCTGGGGGCGTTGGGACGGGCTTCGGAGGGGGATGGGGAGAGGAATGCCCAAAGAAAAAGGAGTGGAGGGGTAGAGGGCGCAGAGTGGGGACAGGGCTGGCTGGGTCACCCGGCTTGGCAGCAACCTCCAGTCACCCCCTCTCTTCCCGACAGATGCCCTGTCAGGCTTTCGAGGAACCCTAGGGCTGATCCTGGGCGAGGTGAGGCCAGGCGAGGCAGGGTACAGGGAAGGGGGAGGTCCCTGGGTTCCCAGGAGGGGCAGGAAGGGCCTGACCCGTGAAGCAGCCCCCAGGACAGCTGTCAGCTACTGGGACATAGGAAAGTGTCGCGCGCGCGCACACACACATATACACACTCGTCCACACTCCCTGATACACTCTGACTCACGCGGGCACAAAGCCCCACGCGCCCACGCCGCACCTTGCAGCTCCCGCACGCCCTGGCTGCACATACACCCTCTGCCTGCGCGCTCCCACAATCCTGGGTCCCCCGGACCCACAAGAGCGCGCCAGCCATACCATGGCACCTAGAGGCCCACGCACACCTCTGTGAACACTCCTCAGACCCCGGCCACCGCTCCTTGCCTGAGGTCCACTCGCGCCGCACCCCAAGCGACTCACCCCCACCGCTCCCGAGTCCCCAGGCTAATGACAAACATTAGCTTCGGAGCGTGATGGGGCGTCGGGACTAGCGGCCACTCCCAGAGACGCCCTCGCTCTGGGGGTGGGC